TTCTCTGAAGTTATGAAACTAGCTGTCATTTCACTCCAAACAGTGTGGAATGACTGCTACACAATGGAATGCAGTAGGAGAATGCAATGGAACTAACATGAGGGATTTCTTTGGCCCAAATCAATTAAAAGCGTTTTGAATCAGTATCTTCATTAGGGCCAAATCCAGGCTTCAAATATTACAAATTAGCGATCTGTAAGAAAATGATTTCCAGATTGTAGGCACTTGTGCGAGTGATTTGCGATCGCACATTTTCTAATCGCTAATTCGTGGTTTTCATAGACGAATTTCTCCCTTACACGGATGGCATACTCGACTTTTATCGACTTAAACGCCTTTAAATGATAATTTGCTTACTTCAAAGTTTCTTAAGGGTATACAACATATTAAACCCATGTAACAAAAGTTAGATTCCGACCCATATTTTGTTTAAAAATATTGCATACAGCGCCATTTCCTGGTGGTGAGGTTTCAAACTTTCTTTTTTTCACGGAAAATAAAACTCCCATGACCTCCTTTACACGGTTACCAAGTTTGATAACATTTGATCCAGTAGTTTAAATTTTATGACCATTTCAAAGTGAAACTTTAATTATTACCACCCTGTATATTATTATTAAATTTTCATTTGAAGCTATGCATATACCATGGGTAAGATCTTTTCATTTATGGAAAAAATAAAGAATCAAAGCAAACATACTTAGGATAATGGACCAAAACTGAAAAAAGTTTCCCCTCCCACTGAAAATAAAATATTGAAAATTCGACCTTGAATTTATTGGATTATCAAAATATTCAATTTGACTTATCTTCCAAGTCCTAGTTCCGATAACAATTCCGTCAAAAATTCCGAATTACTGGAGCTGAAGTAAAAGGTTTAGTATATATTCACTGTATGTTAATAAAGTAATCAGAGTGTAATAAAAATAGATTATAGACCTTATGCTGATGCAACTTTTTTGTCTGAATGCACAACATGTAATGGAAAAGAAGGCTTGTGGAGATCTGTTTTTGACATGCCTCTAAAAGCAGATGTCATACTCCTTTTGTCTCTTCAATGTCAAAAAATTTTCTTTGAGAAGCAACTTTAGTTTTTGGGAAAGAAAAAAATCACACGAAGAATTTGAAGAACATGCAGGACTATTGAGTACACATACTTATTTTCAGAACACAAGCGGTTCTCCGATTGGTTATTGAATAATGAAAAGATGCATTGTCATGCAATACAAAATATTTGGAATATGTTTTCTGACTGAATAACGTAAGATTAAAAGTCATCTGCTTAATTCACAGCCATTTACAAGTCAACTACTCGGGCAACTACAGAATCGTTTTGATAACTGAGCTTGTAAGACAAACCTAATATCATTGGATTTAAACACTTCAGAGAACATTCCTTCTTTAGCTCATATTCCAAGAATATTAAGTGAATACAATTATTGCAAAAGAAATGGAATATTCATTTGCACTACGGCTTGGTAGTTTACTAACGAGTTAACAAAGCTTAAATTCTGTTTTTTGTGTCTAAGAATACAACAATATTTTAAATATTTACAAATAAAAACTTAAATTGGAGATTTAATTGGAGCCTTACCAGTTTGAAGATTGTTAAATACTAATTGTTTGTTGCAAAGTCTAACCCAGGCTGCATGGTTGGTTTTTGCAGTTTTCTAGGTTCTCTTTACAAAGGTCCTCTATGAAAACATCTTAACCAAATAGCTCCCATGTTCTTTCTACGTTCAAATAACCAACTAACCTAGTTTAAGCACGATTTCCAAGTGAAGTTACTAGCAAACCCAAATACTCATTAAAAATCATCTAGCTTGCCAGTCAGGAGTAACACGAAAGATACGGCGTCAATAATTGAATTGCTGTTACGGTACACTGTTTCTAAACTTAGATGGTCATCACTTAATTAAATGTAATTAATTTGTAACTTCTACTAGAGCTGATGGTAAGAATTGAAGTGTGAATAAATAATATCTTGTGCAATCTTGATTAATATAAAATTAGAAACATTTGCATAGAAAAATATTCGCATTCAGACAGAAGGTTTTTTGAAATATTTGCAATTACTTTATAAGAAGGATTTATTAATAACCTTTATAAGAAGGATTAAAAGAAAGATTTATTAATAACTTTTATAACAAGGATTACTTTATAAGAAGGATTTATTAATAAACATCGTACCCTCGTTGGTAATTGAACCCAGAATGTTGGGTGTTGTTTATATAATTATTCTTACTTGTCCATAGAACCTGCTGACTTATCGAGCCATTAAATAGCTGCATATCATTTCTACATAACCACTGAACTTCCATTAATTCAGTCTCTAGAAGGTTGTATGTTTATATCATATCATAATTTGACTTTCATAAGATTGATTATTCTAAATCTTATGTTTCTATAAAAATATACTGTGCTCTAAAAATATGGATGATAGTATCAGCCACTTCATAAGCAACAGTTTGTTTAGAAATAAATTATGCAGTTAATGTCATAAAATATTTTCATAAAATTCAAATAAATATCAAACGAAAGTTCTCAGTTTTAGACAATTCGATTTAAACAAAGCAGACAATAAAACGTCAAAGATAAAAATTTACTCTTACAAATATTTTTTAAAAAAAGGGAAGAAAGCAAGAAACTTTTTTTAAAAAGTTAAAAATTTGAATAATATCATCTATAATTTTAAAAATAATAATTTTTCACATAGTATTAATAAATATTTATTATGTATCATTGAGGGAAAAAATTTCATATAATTAATTCTCCGTAAAAATTTATTTGAAATTTCAGATTAAAAATAGCTGTGGCAATTCAGTGTAACAAAAATCCATAAACCACATTTGGCGCTTATTATCGCCCGCCCTCCCCCCAAAAAAAGATGCCAGATTTCAAAATGCAAAAATATGTAAATTCATGTATATCTTAGAAAATTTTGAATAAAAAAGTTTAATTTTTTGCAGGTATGCTTAGAAATACACCTACTTTAAGATGATGGTCAAAATTTTATAGGTTATAATTCAAAATTTTTTTCGAAAAATTTAAAAATTATTTAAAAAGAAAAAAAAAAAAAAAAGGGGGGGTAAACTTTTTGGATGAACCTATTTCGAATGAAAGAAAATCAAAAAGTTTAAAAGGAGACAGGACCCGCTTAACGCGGGGGATACGTTCCATCAAAGTAGAGCGTAATGCGAAACAGCGCTAAACGAGGCTATCTTTACATGTAAATATTGGGGTTAGGGGAAGATGGCTAGGAAATTGGTTAGGTATTAAATTTAAAAAGTATGTTTTTTTAATAAAAATAAAACCAAACATTTATTTCTTAAAGCCCAAATTAATACCACATTATTATTTCTTGCAAAAATAAAAACAAAATATAAATAACAAAACGAATATTCTTAAAAAAAAACAAATAAAATTCTAAGTCAGTCATATTTAGTTAGCCTTCCGCGTTTTCAGTGTTCTGCCTTTTTGTGACAAAAGCATCTAATGTTGTTTGCCTTTTTCTTTTTGCGTTGTTCTCTTAAAAGTTCTTCATAAACGGATAGAGCATCTCTAACACCACGCCTTACTTTTGAGCTCCTGTCAAAATTCGGATCATTTTCAATGAATTGATCCATTATTTCAGTTATGGTAGACAAACTCCTTTTTACAAACGCCATCGAAAGTTCTTTTTGCTCTTCTTCTGAATCACTGCTGTCAACATTTTTGTTTTCTTCTTGTTCAGTTAATTCCTTGAGCTCATCATTAGAAAGACTAGCCGCTGCTTCTTGAATTATTTCTTCGACATCTTCCACATTTACCCCTTCAAAATATGTCTGTACAATACCGCACCAAACAAGAAATACAAGTACACTCTTTCGGATATGTATTTGAAACCTATCGCTGCATAATATTTCGGGGAATCCCCATATGCTGCGAGCGATTTCGTGGAATCCCCGGGTTGAAACAAAAGAGTGCTAAACCGACCGAAACAGCGCTAAACGAAACAGCGTTAAGCAGGGTCTTACTGTATTAATAATATTTGACAAATGCAATTAACATTGAGGAGCTAAAATTTTGAGAGCTAATACTTTAAAAACTACTCGTACGATTTTTACAAACTTGGCATTCTGGCATAATTTGAGGTGTAGAATCGAAATATAGAAAAAAATTGGTATGTTATTTCAGAAAAAAGTTTGATTTTGTGTCAAAATACTCATGTTAGAATAGTGCTATATATAAATCTAATATATCCTAAGTTGCGCTTTCGAGATATGAAAAACGCAACTTGAATTCTGTCAATCGGCCCAGTAGAACGAGAGATATAGAACTGTTCTTTTTTCTTTTCTTTTTTTTATTAAGCAGTGTACATGCTTCAAACTAATCCAAGTCCGAGTCCTGAATAAATAAACTCGCTTTATCTAGGGCCAGTGCTCGATACCGCTTGGTGCTAATTTTCACTTAAGTTCTAAATTTTCAACGTGCCTAAACTTTGGATCCCAGTGCTTTCCCTATATCATAAATACTTCTCCTCCCTTAATTTTGCCACTGGGTACTTTCCCAAATTCCAAAAATTTCGTCTTCCCTAAATTCTGGCGCTGCTTCGGGTTTATGGGGAATAACATATCAGTTACTCTTAATTAAAATAGCAGTAAATATAATCTTTTGGCCTATGAGTTTCATTAACAAAATCTATTTTTAGCATATGAAAAGAAATTGTTGAATTTTTCCTCATCAACATTTCTTAGAACATTTAAAAATCTATAATTTGGTTTGAATAAGAAATTAAGCATAATACCTAGGCATATTACCAAAGAATGAAATTTCTTGTTACCATTAAAAATACACTACTAACACACCTCCAATAAAAAAATATTTCAGCTCTTTAAAGATCTTTCAAAATTATAAAACATGCTCTTTATATAAGAAAATCTCTTTATATAAGAAAAAATAACATTCCTAATTAAAAAATTAGTTAATCCTATTCACATTAAATGGAGATAAAACATTACCAGGATGGTTTTCCAGACTGAGTTTTGGCAGGACAGGAACCGTCAATAAAGTCAATATACCTCTTCATAGGAAACTGTAAAATAAAGTTAACAGCAATGGGTAAATTAATATTTGACACTGAACTAAAAATGAAAATATTACTACTTCACGAAAATCTTTTGACAGATTTTAAGAGAAATTTTGCACAAACAGAAAGCTGATAACATTTCTAGAATTTAGTAATTACACAAAGTCATATTCTGATAGCACATCCCATCTGGCACTGATTCAAAAGGGAAGCACCAACTTTTAAAATACAGTTTAAAAAATTTTAAACTGATCTTCATTAAAGTTAGAGTAAAAATATTTTATTTACGCAGTTTATTTTAAAATAACTCTCAGATAAACAATCATGATTTAATAATCATGGTGCTATAATTTTAACACATTAAATGTTACATCAGACCCCATGCACTAGTCTTAGACCAAGTAAAATAGGCTTGAAGTTTACTGTGTTAACTACTCTGTCACTTGTATCATCTTCAATGGTTTTTTAATTACTCCTATTTTACAATTATTTTATTAAATATTATTAATGTGATATGCATTAAATCATTATTCATTTGATATACATTAAATTAATATACTATCGTACAATTTCTTTTAAAAGATAAATCGCTAAGTCTTTACTATTGTTAGTCTTAAATATTATTAAGAACTTTGTATTTAGTTAGGCATTTTTAGTAGAATTATAATTAAAATTGTTGTGTTTTCCTGTGCAATGAAGCATGAGATAAATTTTAAGAGAAAGCTATGCAGCAAAAGTAAAAATATAGGAGCATGTGCATTTAACATTGAATAAATGGATATTTCTTTAATTTGTATCGAAATTTAATACATGTAATTGACTACTGTGTTAGCTGTAACAGCAGATTCTTGTAGGTGTCCAAAAATTCCGAGAAGCAAAGAAATTACCAGAAATTTTTCGCAACCGATTGAAAGCTATAAAACGCCAGACAGACAGCATGTCAGCTCAATCATTTAGTTAGCTGCTGTTGTTACTGTGGTAATTTCAGCATGAGATCGAATTAGCTTTCTCTTTAAATGTGCTGTGAATTGCATTCTATTTAACATATTTATGTTCTACTGATTACATTATGTGATACTGTGAACACTTGTACAAATATCTCAGAGGAATATTCCTGCATTCTATTATATTTGTTTTGATAACAATAAATTTTATTAACCTTTTATTGGACTTGTGCATTCAATCTATTAAGAACCCGCATGAATGAAACAATATCTTGTCTTTTCAAGGTGAAAAAATCTGAAGCGGACACCATGACCTCCTTGTACGGAATACAGAGTCGTAGCTAGGGTTTCAGCGCCCAGGGACAACTGAAGATTTCGCGCCCCCTACTGCTTGCCAAGATAGAAAACATTTAATTCTAAAATGTTGTAACATCAGTTTGGCACCCCTTGGATTCTGCGTCCGAGGACAGATGCCCCCCTCTAGTTACGCCCCTGATGGAATATTGAATTATACACATTTTTTTTCCTGCATTTCATTCAAATTTATTTCCTCAAATTTCATTAAAGATAGATTTCTCATTCAATTACTTCAGTTCTCACTTCGCAGCAAGGCAAAAATACATAAAAATCTCAAAATATCATCATTAAAAATTTAAAGATATAGAAAAATATAAAACAACAAATACAGTTAAAACAAAACAAAAAAATTAAATTTCTATGCCCAAACAAGCAATTTAACTAGCAAGCAAGAAAGGAGATTTTGCTGTGCACAAAACTAAAAGTTTCATTTTGGTCCCACGTTGAAAAAAGACAATGAAGGTGCAGAAACTGACTTAATTCACTATCTTGGTAAGTTTCAATGCAAACAAATATGTGTATTTAATTATAGGTAAAGCACACTACAGCTATCTGCCTAAGAGGAGGGATGCCTTCGTGGAAGACCTTCTAAGGGAAACTGGCTCGTATACACATTACACATGGGGAAACCCACGAAAACACCCATGCAGCCACTCTGTTCGCGCGATTCGAACCTTGGACCAACTACCAGTGTTCAGCGACTTTACCGCTCAGTCACTAGTGGGCCGCAAACAAATATGACTGCTTTAGTAAAAAAATATTAGGCTTAGCCACACTTAAACAACTTTTAAATTGTTGTTAATTCTACAAGTATTACATGCAGATTAACTAAAGGTATAAAAACCTGAATTGGAAGATAAGAACAACACAATTCAATCATTTTAAAGCAAAACATGCACAATTTACCAACATATAAGAATTTAAAAAAAAAAAAAAAAAAAACCTGAGCTCACTAAGCTGAGCAACAGAGTGGGCATATATCTGTGGAGTTAGTAGGAAAAATAACAGACTCCTGGAATTTTAATGACTTTGACTCCCTCATATATATATATATATATATACAGTCAAAAGTCGTTAATTCGGACACCCATAATCCGGAATGATTTATAATCCGGACCTCAAAACTAAAACCTTTCTGCGCATGCGCCGCGTTGACACATGCGCATAGGCGTTTACGCGTGTGCGTAAGACTTCTTACGACTGCGCATATGTGTGTGCGCAAGCGCAGAATACATTTTCACGTGCGCGTTTTATGGATAACGGACGGTATAAGCTAAAATTATGTAATTATCTATTTCAGTTAATGTTGATGATTGCGTTGTTCCTTAATTTTCAAATTGGATCCGGCTTATTATTTTTTGCAGACTGTAAGAGCAATACTATAAAAGTAAAGTTGAACTTTCGATTATGTCAAATAGAATTTCCGATTCTGGAGCTACCAAAGGATCTTACAAACAAAAAATTATGTCTGTTTATAGAATTAAAGAGAAAGTATTATCACATAAAACGAAGCAACTTAAACAATTTACATTGAAAGAAATGTTTAATAAAGTAAACAAATAAATATTAAGCTTTTTTTTTTTGTAAATTTTGATACCCTTTAGATCATAATTTTCTTTATTTCATAAATTACGGTTTCATATTTTTAATTTTAGAATTTCTGCATGCCATCTTACGCGATTTTAACTGATGATCTAAAATCCGGAAAAATCAATAATCCGGAATCGCCGAAGTCCCGACGAGTCCGAATTAATTTTTTTAACAAAAAAGAAGTAATAGATGACACAGAAAAAAATTGATGGCATAGCAAATTATTTATATTAATTAGCATTTATCATGAAATGGACAAACCGCCATTATTTATTTCTAAGAACCAGCTTCGGCAAGATTTTCTTTGTTGGAGGGCCATAGATCCGTTTTGATAAGCTTGAGACCTGAGAAGAGTCTTTCCACACTAACTTGAATAGGAGGAAGAGCTGTTACTGTTATGGCTTCTACTTTTAACTTTTCAGGATAGATTTTTATAAGTTCTAAAAGAGGTGTCTTGCAAGCACAATCATATTTCTCTACTTCTTCAAACGCAGTGTAGAAATCTTGTTTGTATTTTTTTCATTTTTTTATATCTGAAAGCTCTTGTTTTTTACTTTCATTCGCTCTGCCTTAGGCTTTTCAACATTATCCAAAAATATTTCTCAAAATCTAATTCATCAATGGAAAAGGATGAGACTCAATTGCAATGTCTGCAAATTGACTGTCCAGATTCAAATTCTCCAATTGTTCTGAGAATAATTTCATTCTTAATGAAAGTTCATAGATGACTTTCTTTGCCTTTTTAATTTGTTCGTCATCCAAGAAAATTTGGTGTTTCGGTTTTCCATATATTAAACCTAGCAAGATCTCATTGTCTAGCAGACTAGTTTTTCTTTCCTTCATTGAAGAAATGATTCCTTCTGCAATAAACCCTCCATTTCAGAAAGAACAAACATCCCATTCTTGCCTCCTGTCAATTCTTCAGATTGCAGCTTTCTTGTGGCCGTATATGGTTTAGAAAGAAGAGTTTCCAATTCTGCAAGATCATTCCACAGTCTTTCTGTTAGTGAAACATTAGGGTTATCTACATCTCCTAAAAAAGTTCTTAATTCTAAAAACCTCTTTATCATCAAATATGTACTTCCTTATCGCATTGCTTGATCAATAATTGCTCCTTTTCCTGCTCGCTTCCTAAGAATAGCATCAAATTTTAGGAGTTCTTGCTACTATTGCTGCTTACCTAAATTTACCGGCGAGATTTGTAACTAAATGAATCAGTTTAATCACTAATGGCAAATATCACATCCCTCCTCCTCCCTTATATTTGTTTATTAATAGGTCAATAAAATAGAAAATTAACTATTTATTAATGTATACTGTTCATAAATAAAAATAATAATTTAGCTTGTCATTAATTTTTTTTCAATTCATTTTAATTTCATTTCAAATTCAAAGTGTCCAACAAAAACTGAAGTTGGAGTCAGAGTCGACCTGTTTTTAGCGACTCCAGCTACGACTCCTTTCACCCCAAAATCTGTTTGATTCCGACTCCATGACTCCAACTCCACAGCCCTGATATAGATAGACTTGAAGAAGAAGTTAAAAGTAAACTGGAGTTAAAACAAGGTTATTGCTCCACAATATTAATATTAGCAATTGTGTAAGAGAAGTTTAACACAAAATCCAAACATATCAAAATTTAAATAAGAATTCATAGTAGTACAAACTCTAAAAATAAAAAGGAAAACGCAAAAAGGAAAAAATATATAAAAATAATAATCTCTTTTCACTGAAACACCAATTCAGAACTCATCAGGAGATTCAAAAATATATATATAAAAAAGAGAAATAAATTTTCTAAACAAAAAAATCCATCATTTAACCTGTATTGCGCACTAATCGATGAAGTCTGAACACACCTCTACATTAAACTGCCATGTGATCTGAAATGGAATTCGGTATAAAAAGGTCAACTGTGTCGCCACTCTCTCTCTTCCCTTCTGCTTCCAGATGCTTCTGTAGCCTTGCTGCAAAGTTTACTAATTTTCATTCTCTAAGAAGAGATAATCTGTATAAAATTGGGAGGTGCATAGCACACCCACAATTATAATGTGCATTAATTATCAAAGAATTATTTGTGGAATTTAGGCCATGTTAATAAGTTTTTTGGTTTATGTGCTTATCGTTCTAACTACGCAACAAAGTCTTCAAGTTATGATGCAATTATCTCTGAGGCCAATCTGTTGCAACTCTCACCAAGTCATCTTATTTCAATAATAGAGCAGTTTTATTACAATAATGCAGCAGTTTTATTACATATAATTTTGTTGCAGCCGATTGCAACCAAAAAGGGAGGTGCACAATTACATGTTATAGCAGTCTCATATATAAAATTTCAACTTTCTGAGGCTACTCCTTTTTTGAGTAATGAGAGATACATATGTACGTACATACAAAAGCTATGAAAAAATCTCTTCTGAATTCATTTTAAATCAGCTTTATAATTTAGTTAAGGTAAAAGAGTCCTTTATTCTGTCCTCACTTTCAGATGTCATGCAAAAACATTGTGAAATTGCATTTGATAGCAGTCAAAATGGACATGATAACCAGAATTTTTCGTGATTACAATACATCCTTTACTTCATACAAGGAAGTAATTACTGAAATAAACTGAATAAAATACAGAATTTGTATATTAGCTGGCCACAAAATGACTTTGCAATGATAGGTATGAAGTTTGATACAATGTAAAATATAAAACTTTTTCTTAGTTAAAAAAAAGTTACAGCATACTTGATGATTGCTTTATAAAACTGTATTTACAGTTGACTATGAAGCCCTCAAATACAATACTTGAATTCCAATGTCCAGACTTTTAAGAACTTGAATATAATTAAGACTTTAAAAGAGAAAGCATTAGCCTCGTAGCACATACACCCCCCTTTTTGATTAACAACAGTTGGCATACAAATTTTCATTAAATTTGATGAAAAAATTTAAAGCTTTCGAATGCTTTTCTGGCAGAACTTGTACTTCATGACTGTAACTATTCCAGACTATTATCATACAATTTAAGATTTTAAGCTGTTTTTTTCTCGTTGTTTCTGATAAGAATTATTATTAAATTGGTGACTTTGATAGTAACAGTAGGCACCAGCAGAAAAATCACTTGTACCTGGCTAACATTCAACCAGTAAGAGTAGTTAAAACATTATGGCATTAATAAGAAATAATTGCCATAAAATATTTTCCATTATTTTTCTCAACTTACCTGCGGACCAACCATGAAACCACCGAAAAAATAAGTATGACCTGCAACTTCCAATAATGTGGGACACTTTTTTAAGGCAGTCTTTTTTTGATCATGAGGCAGTTTCTCCTGTTTAAAAAGGATACTTTACTGAGAACCTTAGCAATAAACAATAAATCATAATTTAAATTTCTCAATATATATACATCAGAGATAAAAGTAAAGAATTCTTACTGGATCTTTCTGTCCATCATACACATCAAAAGCCAGCCCTTAAACCAATAAATTATGAGTTAAAATATAATTAATTACAACAGTTCAAAAATTTTTAATACTTCATATACAAAATACTGAAAACTCATACCAATTAATCGCAATGTTAATACACATTGAGGCATGCTCCATTTGATATCGTAATCATCAGTTCCAGTAATATAATAACCGAATATTAAATATCCCTAAAATGATCATTTAAAAAACAATGAGCAACATATAATTTGATAGAAAGTCAACATGTAATACGAATACATGAATATAACTTTTCTTAAAAGATTTATTTCATATACATTATGATTCATCTTACAACAATTTTTGTATGTGTCTTACAGTATTACTTACAAATGACTTATGCGCATACACGCATAAGAGACAAAAATAGAGCATTCACTATTTTTTTTTTATTTTAATTTGGAACAAGAATAGCAAATATATATAAATACACTGATGAGCCTAAACATTATGACTATCCCCACATTTTTCAATGAACTCGGCTTAATAATGTGAAGGGCACGATTGAGTGGGAATGGTATTTAACTACTGCTTAAAAAGGTAAGGCATCATTCTTGCACTTATTTTAGTGAGTGATGGGAAAGGCTACTGTTCTAAGTGAACTTGATAGAAGGCAGATTGTAATGGCCCGAAGACTCAGAACGAGAATCTCCGAACAGCATGACTGGTAGGTTGTTCACAATCTGCTGTTGTTAGTATTTATGCAAAATGGATAAATAATGATAAAACCAGCAGTAAAAGCTAACGTGTTGGCCATCCACGTCATCAAAGAACATCGGAAACTGTCCCGCTTGCAAAATCGGCACCAGACTGTGGCTCAGTTGACAGCCCAATACAATGCAGGTCCAAGAGCAAGCATTTCGGAACACACAGTTCAGCAGACACTGTTAGATATGAGACTGCATAACAGACATCTCACTCGTGTGCTTCTGTTGACCAAGCATCACTGTCAACCAACTAAGCCTGCAGTGGACGCTGGACTATGAATCAACACTGGACCATGAATAAGTGGAAGACAGTTACCTGGTTGGAAGAATCAGGATTTCTCATTCATCACGTCAATGGTCGTGTCAAAGTACGCTGTCCTCCAGGCGAACAGTTACTCCTCCCTGGTACAGCAGACTGGTGGTGGCAGTATTGTGCTTTGTGGGTTATTCTCATGGGCAGCTTTGGGGCTCTTAGTTGTAGTAGAACAGACCATAAATGCTGGGGATTATCTGAACATAACTGTGGATCAGTAGCACCCTTACAAGGTTACTGTCTTCCCAACTGGAAATGGAGTTTTCTAATAGGACAATGCCCCATGTCACAAGGTTCAAATTATGTTGGAGTGGTTCGAGGAACATAAGGATGAATTCCAGGTAATGCCCTAACTTGCCAGATCTTAACCTGATAGAGCACGTTTGGGATATCAAAGAGCGGCAGCTTGGAGTTCAAATGCCACCATGTTGGAATATCTCAACTTTGCATGAACGTTGCTTAGACATTTGATACAACCTATCTCCCTCATCTACCAAGAACTTGTGGTATCCATGCCAAAGTAAGTTGCAGCTATTTTGCAGGCCTAAGGTGTCATGCAATTTAGTTTAATATACAATAGTCCGTTTTAAATTTATCAGTATCCCTTCTACAGGGTGATCAAAAAGTATGCACGTAAAGTTTGTTGGTTAAATGCACCAAATATAAGACATATAATACCGTATATATCTATAAACACTGTATATATTTATAATTATTAATGTAGATATATAATTATCTAAAAATCATATAGACATATAATATTATATATATCTATAAATATTTTAAATATTTTTATCGCATTTTTCTAATCTTATGCAATGATTTATTTTATTTATTTTGCATTTGTAGCTGCAAGTTTCCTTATATAAGTGTTTATTTTTTACATGAAACTATTGATCTTTCAATTTTGAGTATGGCAATAGTTAAAAACTATAAAAATAGTTTATTCATTCCGGTGAAGTACTGTCTGGTTCACCCGGGTACCTGAGCATAAGCCCTACTCCATGTAGAATACTTTGAAAATTTCGAATGTTAATAAGCGCAACCTAAGATTTCATTTTTTCTTAATTTTTTTCATTTTTTATAATTTTTTTAAAATTTTTTTAATTAATTAATAGTTTGATATAGACTACTACTATTTAAGCCAGAAAGCCGTCGAGCTGGTGAATGAGTCATGGAATGCAATTGTTAATGCATGTGAAGCAAGTGCGAAATCAATGGTGCCAAACATTAAGATATTATAAGTTACAAGTAGAAGGAATTCAAGATATATGAATAATCAATAAGAATATACAACATACAGAGCCATTGAGTAAAATTATACAAGGTCACATAATCCATACATTAAGGATGGCAAGAGACCTGTCCTTGTTGCTTAGATCATTATAATCATAGTCTGGAATTTTAATTGCCGGATTGCAGAGCCTTTCGTGAAATTTTTTCACAATTTGATAGTAATATGATCTTAATGCACAAATACCCAGTTCCTCATGTATCCTATTGTTTCTGATATACCACTCAGCATTGACAATCTGTCTGAGGGTGGAGTTCTGAGCAACTTGTAGCTTTCCTCTGTACTTGTTGCAAGAGTAGCCCACACGGGACAAGCATAACAAAGTAGTGGATGCAGAATAGATTTACAAATGAGTAATTTGTTGTCTATAGATAAAAATAGTTTATACAAAATGCAAGATATATACAAAAATGCCCCCCATGGGCCTAGCTAACCGATTCTCCCTGAAGCTGCACTACACCAGATGTGCCTACATTAGACTATCAAATACAGCTTAAAGAGCTCAAACAAAATGCTGCTATTATTAGTTGCTATTCAGGTGTAAGATTTAGTGTTAACTGAACTGTGATTTAGAATTTAATCTACACGTGATTCTAGTAAAACATATTTTTTGTGTGCCATCAAGGTTAGGTTATTTAATTACGGCAAAGCCTCGAGGGCTATCTGCCTAAGAGGAGGGGTGCCTTCGTGGAGGACTTTCTAAGGGAAACTGGCTCGTATACACGTTACACATGAGGAAAACCACGAAAACACTCATGCAGCCAGCCCGTTCGCGGGATTCGAACCTCGGACCGAACTACCAGTGTTCAGCGACTTTACCGCTCGGCCGCTGGTGGGCGTGTGCCATCAAGGAACTGTTTGATATATGTGTTCAACTCGAACCATTTTTTTTTTTTGTTATTTATTGCACCTTGTATGGTTAATTTTATAATAAATTGCTAATTTCTACTTGTTTATCTAAAACAGGAATAAGCAAATACTTTTAACCCCATGCCAAAAGGCCTTTTTTTGCACTGCATCATGCAGGCAAGGCTGCAACTATCTTTTGCACTGCTCCTATTTATTTGCAAATCGCGATGGAGGGGAGAACACCCTCTTTGATCGAAAGATTTTTTTAAAAAAATACAAATACACCAAAAACGAAATCTCTAAATTAAAGCTTGTAAAAATGAAAAGATTACAATGATATATACACAGATATGTAACGGATGCATATGCTTCAAGCATATGTAATGTTCTCAGCTTGATTAATTGCTAATTTAGTTATGTGTGTATATGCATATATTCACTTAATATATGTGCACTTGTGCTGCTGATTTCAGTAGTTTGTGCAGAAAATCGGGTAGGAAAGAAATGAAAATGTTGCTGCGTAGGATTTCATAATGGGCTATATTAGCAAAGAAAAGGTGCATTCAGACCACAGGCCAGCTTTTGCTCGCCCCTGATCTAGAGTAATCATTTAGAGAAATATCAACAAATCAGTAGCTTACAACAGTACTTATTCTAATGTTTATTGCCTTACATCAAATCATGTCTTTACAACATATGCTCAAAATAACAGCTCTGTCCAGTAATGCATACGCATGCTCTTTTTATCACATTTGAAACCACTTTTTAAAGCACCTTTTCACTGATGTTAACTGCAATTATAATGTTCCTTAAATTCTCCAATATATGTGATTACATCTATAGACCTTCCCTTTAAGATACAACCCTGACACACAAATACATACACACACACACACACAAAAAAAAAAAAAAAAAAAAAAAAAAAAAAAAAACACCATGGATTTAAAAAAACAAAAACAAATCCAGTAAATGCAAGGGCCACATTCCAGTAATTTTGTAGTATGTGATCAACACTGTTGGTTATTTACCTCAATCTAACTTTTGGTTAGATTGTGCAACTAAAATGCTATTTTTAAATTCGAACATGCAATAAGAGGATGAGAAAAAGGAATGGCTAAAATAACAAGCAATTTTAGAACTACCATCTTAGAAATGGCTAACTAAGTAAAAGTGGCAAATCATATATTACCCATAACCCTTTTGAAATGGCACAGATGACAAAAATCTTGTGCAAGAAATGCATGGTTTCAATATATGCGAGACAAGTGACATCACCTTGCTCCACTTAAGTTCATTAACTTAGAGAAGCACAATAAACTGTGTAATGTCTTTATACATTGCATTGTTCACCATAATTTCAAATACTATTCAACGATGAAAATTCTTTTTATTTTTGAGGAAAAGGCATGTCTGCCTAGCAACAAAAAGAGCTCTCACCACAGGTGGCATATATGCTCAATGTTAGTGCTTCTATAATGCCAGCTACTTTTGTAATAATAATAGTTATAACTGCAATTCACTTTGTAATAAGATATTTATTTGATGTGCAAAACCTTTTAATCATTCTGCATAATTTCTTCAAGTTTATAAGAGATATACCAATCACAAAATGAAATATTGCTGTAGTCGTACAGATGGAAACAAAGATTATTATATTATCTGTAGCAAGGGATTCATTTCCATCAAGCATGTTACTGTTAATTGATGCATATACTTTTTTTATTGTTTGTTTAACAATAAACTTTAATGAGAAAACAATTCTTGATTATTATAAATTATAGGCACAATCATGGATAGGTAAGTCCGGCATTCTCTCCGCCGGATGAGAAAAACAATCTCTGCATAACAAAAAAATGGCGACGGCCCTTCAGCCAACAAAATCGGACCGTCCCATCTGACATTCAGGGTCAGAAGTCCCCTTCTGCCCTCGCTGTCCTTTCTCTCCACTTTCTTTCTTGCTTTTGTAATTACTTCAGTCCAACAAATCACCCAGCGCTCGCCAATGATCGTCCGTCCTGTTGGACTAACAATTTTTTCCAGCCAGGCTTTTCCTTCTAATGGGGCTATGAGCATTACACCCATATAAATGCCAATACTTCAAAAATTCAAATACAAGAAAAGGGTTAATAAGAATGAATTTTCAAGTATTTTAATGAATAAATAAATTTCAATATTAAATTATTTGTATTATGAAAGCAAAATTCTTTTTTAAACTTGCCCAACTCGGATCATTCAAATTTGGAAAAAAGAATAAGAGCAATTTTGGTTAAGCTATATTTAAGATTGCCCCCTTGGATTATCGTGAAGTTGTTGTTTCATTTATAGTAACTCGAATAGTTGAATGTTATGGAAACCCTATTATGACGTGATTGGTTGCGTGACTGCGGTGATGGGAAAATATTTGTTGGATATCAGCTACGAAGTACGTCGCATATTGTGTGCTGTGTATCATAAAACGGCTGCTGGTAGTAAAGTAGGTGTTTAGTGTATAGAACGAGAGAGCAGAAGTTTTCTTTTTGAAGTGGTTGAGGATAGAAGAAATGAAACTTTGTTGGATATAATTCAATGGAATTATAAGTGCTGAAGACACGGAAATTTCTAAATAAGGTAAGTGAATATTTCCTTTGTGTAGTGCTTAGGTTATATAAGATGAATTTACTTTTTTATGTAATTTCATTTTTTGATTTAAAATGCAGTTTATCGAGATTATACATTTTTTTTTTTTTTTTTATTTGACTCTAGTGTAGAATTGAGTGCCTCAACTTTTTAAGTGAAAACAGATCGAAAACAGGGAGTGTGCAATGCCCAGTTTGTGCTGTTTGTGCTATTTTTTTAGTGAAAATAGGTCGATGTGTAACATGGGTACCGAATTTGCAGCTCTTTGACCTAATAACAAGAAGAATTGCACAAACTCAGTGTCCATGTACTGCTAAAAATCACCAAGAGGCACCTGTAAATATATTTTTACTGCAATTTTTGTTTTTTAATCTTAGAAACAGCAAATGCAAAGTAACTATCTTCACACAAATACCAATACTTATAGATGAGGCCCACAGAAGGTAAACCATCATCTAATAAATCTAATAATAATTAATCTAATAAAAAAACTGCAATAGAAACTGTACATGGAATTTCATAAACTGCTGCAAGAATTTTACACTTCATTAATCTTGATATTCTTTACCTTTCTCTTTAAATCTAAAAATTCAAAACAATATTTATAAAAAAAATGTTTTAAGTATACATATAATTATACTACTTTATAAATAAATTTTTATGTATAAATGTATTACTAATTAAAATGATCATAAAAGAAACAAAATATTCTACAAATAATATAAATGTTTTTTATATAAAAATACAAAGATAGATGGGGTAAAACTAGGGTTCCAACCTACCATGAGAAAAGCAAATGAAATGACAACTGATTTAAATGTACCACCAATGGTAACAAGAAGTACATATATAATGATGACACATGCAACAGAATGAAGGATATCAGTTCCTGTAAAAAAATGAAAAAGTCAGGTATTTAAAAAACTAAATGCAGAATTGTACATGAAAGCAAATACAGATCAGATAACTGCAAATGAATACACTAAAAGGGAGGCTTTTTAAGTTGGCTTTCAATTTATTATCAAATTCCATTTTCACTTTTAATAATTCATCTAATTTTCAGATAAATTAAGAAAGTTTTTATAATTTCAATACAGCAAAATTTTCACAAAACAGATTTTTTCAATAAAAATGTTCTCCATTAAAATATTGAAACATTAGTGAATCTGAAGAAAATATCTCATGATACATAAATTGATAACAATCCAATTTATAATCTAATAACTGAAAATTATGAATTTAAAATTTGAATTTTATTGCTTTAATAACTAATAATTCCTCTTAAACTATTATTTCTACTGAAGATAACAAACAACAAAGAGTGAAACCTGAAACAAAACTTTGCTCTTTACCTTAAACTGAGACATTTCATCAGATAATACAATAAATGGCTGATTGTTTGAAATGTTTTTATTCACAAAATTCTCTCTTTGTGTCTTGTGTTGTTTGGTCTAACCATATGACTCTTCGAATTATCCCCCAATGAAAATGATTTGATAGAATATTTTCAGCAATGTGAAGTTCCTCGCAAGAAATCGAAAATGTTCAAATCTTCATGATATGAATCTTGATATCGCGACAAACAGTTTCCACCTGAAATAAACACTATTTGACATGAGCTACGCCCCTTTTATAATTAAATTTATACTTCTCATGCTATGTTATATTATTTGTTCTTATGATTTTACAGTATTGCAAACAGGTAAAGGAAAAGTACCCTCCAAAATATATACATTTCAAAGTTTAAAATTTATAAGTATGCCATTTAAAGGCTAAAGTGAAGCATAAAGTGCACACTAAATTTAGTAATTTCATTGTTAGGTAATAATTTTGATCTGGTAATTTCGTTTCTTACATGATGATTATACATGAGAATTCTAGGTACTTGCATGCTATTGCATCCACCTTATTAGAAGTCACCAAATGTTCAGTATGTGCCAGACTTTGGCAACCATGTCAGACATTGCCATTTTCGAACATATTCTTTTTGTTGTATTCTAAATGCTTTTATTACCAATGCATGGAATTTTATGCCTTAATTTTAACATATGCACTTGTGGAAACAGCGCTTCTTCAAGAATACAGAATTTTGAAGCAAAATCTCTAAAGAGAACGAGCAGATGCGTTTGATTAGCTTGTGCTGCCAAGGTTTCACAGCAATCTCACAGGTCACTGCAATTCTCCTCCTTTTTTTTTTTTTTTTTTTTTTTCAAGTGAAAACAGATCACTGAATACTTGAAAAGAAGAATAGTGCAAAAAACTTAACGAATGTAAGTTATTTTTTTAATATATTACATAATCCTTATTTAAAAATTAAAATTTTTATTTTAAATTCCTGAAGAATGTTGATCTTTCATATGTTGATAATGTTTGCCAGCTTACAATAATTGTCAATACTTCAGGAATCTTTCTGAAAATAATTGTGAGAACCAACTTGCACTTGATATGTAACTTTCACTTTTTCATCTGTAAAAAATGCCAGATTGTACCAAGGTGGTTACATTAATATGCAAGTACCCAATTCTAGTCTGTCGAGCCTTTTTTTTTTTTTTTTTTTTTTTTTTTTGGTAACTGGAATGGATGTGATTGTAAGATATTATTTTGTTTATTTGTTACCTTCTATTTGTTATTTTTTAAATTGCAATTTTTAAACAGTGAAAATAAAACCATTTTATTACCATGATGTCGGTGCGCTAAATAACCAAAAGATATAGTTTAATTTTTTATTTTACGATTTGGAATAAAATGACAAAATGCGCTGTAGTGCTGCATGGGGATTTCTGAAGGAGTTTGAATATTCTATATGGAATGATAATATGCCTTTCCATAAAAGAAAGAATCGAGTGATGGTTTTGAAATTGCAAGTATAATGATGGAATTCACAAGTGTAATGATCAATTTCATTTTTATCTTGTCAAGCACATGTGGCACAAGATGCAAAGAAATAATCCTGTAGAAGAATTTTCACCATTTATAAAAGCCGTAAAGACAGTTTATCCTCCATACGATAAATTTCTGGAAAAAGGTAGGTATTTTATAATTATTATCTGTCATATAATCCTTACTGAATAATTTATAACCGATCATAGCAGGTGTGTGTGTGCAGCTGACGATATACAATTCTGATTTATTTAAACCAAAACAAATTGCCATGAACGTTGGAAGAAAAACAGTAATGCATCATAGAATATATTGATAATGCTTAATAAGCACAATCTGTGCAATTCTATTTCTCGAGCAAAATGATTGCTGTGTATGTCGTACCTGAGAAGAGTAGTATCAATTTATCATATAGTATGTATAATACTTAATGTATCATATTATCCTTATCTTAGAATTAAAATTTGCATTTTAAATTGCTAAAGTGTGTTTTCTTTTATCACATTAACAATGTTTACCAACTTACAATGAATACTGATAGCTTAGCAATTCTTTTTGATAAAAATTGCTAGTCTTCAACTCGCAGCCTCCAAGTAACTTTCGGCCATTTTAACATACTTATTATTTTTTTAAGTGATTAATTTATCAGCTCAAAAAAAAATTTTTTTTTATATCTGATAATAAATAATTATTCAATCACTGAAATTTATGAATTATATTATTTTATACACTTATGCATAGATTATTAGTGTGTATGCACTCAAAATATTTTTTTATTTCCTTATTAAACCCACAGAAATTGAAATTAAATAACTAAGGATTATCCTAAAAATCTTCAAGATAACTTTGGCATCTTTCAACTGTTGTCATCTTTTGGCCACTTTTCCCAAATGGCAATAATTTTTTTTTTTTTTTTTTTTTTTTTTTTTAAAGGTTTCATTAATGAGAAAATTAATTCTTGCTTAAGGTGCTACAAATAAAAAAAATTAATTTTATAATTTACATTTTCAATGAATGAAATTCTCAGTAAAAGATAGTACAAAGAGAATGGATATATAATCCTTAAAATAGCTTTGTGCCATTTCAGATATTTTTATTAAAATACATTTTTCAGTAGATTAAAAATGGCCTCAATAATTCACCAAAGTCATGAAAGATTTCTACAATTTGCTGTCTTAGAAAAGCTGCTAAAATGTGCTGTTTTAGATCTTAATTAGACATTTTAAAATTAGGCCTAAGCAGTAAATACAAAAAAGATTGAGAATCACTGCATTAGTGCTTAAATTAACTAATGTATTCTAATAATGGTGATATGTGTTTAATTATTTTCTACAACTGCAGAAGTGTGGGAAAAATTAAGTTTATTGCAAAACTTTTGTGGAATACTGTATGTTACCATACAATAAACCCTATTTGATATTTTTTTTAATTTAGTTTTTGTTTAAGAATATGTAATTTATTTTTAAAAGGTACTTTTTCATTTTTTAATGTCCAATAAGTGAGATTGTTGATAGAGTTTTTATTCAAACAAAAGATAACAGAAAACTGAGGGGAACAGCTCATGAGAAGCCTCATCTACATAAAAGCATTACAAATGAAGGTAGTTTAAGAAACTTCGACACGGCGAATACGAGATTTCTCCCTTATACTGAAGCATAAAATAATGTATGGCATTTTATAATAATTTACAAAACATGCATAAAATATATACATACCATAATTGAAATAACCTAGAGATAATCCACAAAAAACGAAGAATATATGCTGTACAGTGGAAGACTTTCCAAATAAAAAATTACGATGTAAAAGTGCCAAAGGATAACCTAAGGGAGAAAAATAACTTATTATAAAATAATTATGAAAAATCATTAATCATTTTAGACAAAACATAAGTACTGCTCACTTGGTTCACAACTAATAAAATAATGAACGCAGCATCAATTAACCTTCTCAGTTGCATTACCATCTTTAACTTATTATAAGATTTGTTGAACTTAGGCACAAATCCTGGATATTAATGCAGTAAGAAAATTTGAAAAATATGGCTAATTTAAAAGCTGCCAACCTTAAGACCTCTAAACAAGTTGATGAGAGGAAAAGTAGGGCATAAAATTTCACAATTCTATTGCCTGAAGTGTTTTTGATTAAAACTGGAACAAAGCTATGTAAATTTAAGTGATTCTTCACTGGTTCCCAAAGCCTTTTATTCACAACTGCAGCATATATCCCCTAAAATAGTTTTAAAAATTTGAAAATAAAACTCCAGAAATTAACCCGTAATTAAACAAGCAACCATACAATGATAATATTTATGATTATTGAAATTAAAGTTATTCATATTAGCTCTTATTAAAATTTGTTATAAAATAATATGCTGACTGGCTTTTTTTACCTAAATTCTTCTACATCTGCTTTAAAAATTCTTTCTTTAAATTTTAATTATAATACATCACAACTTTTTTGTTTGTTTTGTCACACATTATAAGCTTTTCATCAAAAACATATTCTGATTTTTTATACAATTGACAAAAGAATTCAATAATAGCTTATGCTCTGAAAAATAAAATTAAATATTTAAAGATAAAGCAAATCTATATTAACAAAATTAGGCTAGCTAAAATTATCTTCACAGCATTCTCCATAATGTTTAGTTATTAAAATTACCTCCACACACACACTGAAGTTAGCTTTGCAAAAGTGTGCTATGAAATGCTAAATATTCATTATGAGGATATTAAATTTCAAAATTTATACAATTATATTAATATTTTATATGAAATACATACAGCAAGTTCCAAATTATAGTTTATTTCGACAAGTAACATATAATTTCAGCATTATTTCCCCCAAGTCATCAATTGTGTAAATTAACTAATCTTATTTTCAATAAACATACATATATGGAACTGGGACAAAACTTCAAAAATTAAACCATTGCAACAAATACCCTCATTTGGGCAAAAAATAACAAATATATTCTTATCACATAGTGACCTTTGAATTATACAGTTTGAATTGCATTTATACATAGTTCTCCTTCCCCAAATTGAATATTAGATCTTTTGCAGATTGAGAGCATTGCAAAAAAAAAAAAAAAAAAGTAGTTAAACTATAAAGCCTACAAACATATACAAAAATTTTTAAGTTAGGAATATTAACATGTTTTATCATTTTGTTACCATAAAACAAATATAATTCTGTTAAAAAAATTTCACCAACACACTAGCACAAAATGACTTGAAGACTTCGTATCTTGTGCCACCCACAGAAAGTGAAATGTACACAAATGCAAATTTTAAAAAATTTAAGAGCTGTTAAAAAAATTTCACCAACACACTAGCACAAAAAGACTTGAAGACTTCATATCTTGTTCCACTCACAGAAAGTGAAATGTACACAAATACAAATTTTAAAAAATTTAAGAGCATACTAAAATATTTACACTAATACCCTCTTCTATTAGAATTTCTACTAAGATCAATCACTGTGAATATGTGCTCAAAATATGCCATGTGACCTGCAAATTGTTCAGTCATGTTCTCCTGAACAATTTGTTAATTCAATAAACTGAATTATTACAATTAAACATGATCATATGAAGTTTTCTATATGTTTAATACATACTTTAACACGACTCAAATTATGCTTGCATTGCTTTCCAGAAGCAAAGAAAAATCACATTTATTTGGAGATAACTTTCAATTGCTTGATGAACCTCTAAATATTTTATTATAAAAATTTATACTTTTCCCATTTACTACTGATAATAAATTTAACATGTATAATATATTGCAACAGACAAAAGAACTTTAATATACATGCTATATTAGATCCATTAATCTCGGAGGCAAACTATCTAAACTTACGATATGCAAAAATGAAGTGCAGCATTATGTATACATTTCCTAATTTTTACAGTATGCTCTATCAGAATCCTCCCTTCCTCCTTTACCTTTCTTTAAATGAAAGATGAAGCATATAATGCAGACAAATATACAAAATATATAAGTTAATCAGCTCTTTTGTGAAACCAGTAATAGCAACCTTACTAGCCCTATTTACACAAAGCCTAATTAAACTTTTTGAAAAACACATTCCTTCCATAACTGGTTTCTTTAGATGGAGAAAATGGATTCAGAATCTGTTTCATGTACATTGTGCAAAAAAAGGGGGGGGCAGTTCTATATCTCCCATTCTACTGACGAAATTCAAATTGTGTTTTTTATGTCTCGAAAGCGCAACTTAGGATATATATTAGATTTACATATAACACTATTCTAACATATGTATTTTGACACAAAATGCCAACTTTTTTACATTTCGATTCTATGACTCAAATTATGCCAGACTGCCAAGTTTTGTAAAAATCATACGAGTAGTTTTCAAAAATTAGGGAACTACTCTGATATGCGCCCTCAAGTCGCCAAACATTTTTGGCGAGAAACTTCACGCTGCCATATTACTATCTAAATTTTTTGTCTATATTTCGAACTTTAAGCCTAAAATGTCTCCAAAATCGTGGTTTTCGCACATGCAAAAATTACGTTTTGAACACACGATTTAAGCTACAAATCCGAAACAAAAATAAAAAATTTAGATAGCAAAAACGTAAAGTTTCTAACCAAAAATATTTGACAAGAATCCATGCACACAGCGACATGTTTTAACTTTAAAAAAGTCTACGAATGGCACAATGTAGGCAACGAACGAATTTACAAACTACGCACACCTCGCTTTAATAAATTAGCATAACAACAATAAATTTCAAAGAATACCATGTACACAGCATCCTGTTTAAACTTAAAAAAACATCTACAAATTGCACAATTTAGGCAAGGAATGAATCTACAAACTACGCACACCTCGCTTTAATAAATTAACATAACAATAAATTTCAAAGAATACTGTGTACACAGCATCCTGTTTAAACTTAAAAAAACATCTACAAATTGCACAATTTAGGCAAGGAACGAATCTACAATCTACGCACACCTCGCTTTAGTAAAATAACATAATAACAATAAATTTCAAATAATACCATGTACACAGCGTTTTGTTTCAAAAACAACAACGACAGAAATTCATGCTAAATACCAATGAACATAACATTCTACAAATAAGAACAAGAAGAAAATAAATGCACTTACCATGAATTAATGCTTTTTGAGCAGCAGAAATGCCAATTTCATACCGCCTTTAACATGCCGCCACGTAATCACTATCGTATTTACATGACAGCCAGACACACTCCAGAAAATTCATACTATGGTTCACAAATAAATAAAATCACAAATCCCTACTTCTATCATACACAGGCATTAAAAATAATCTCCCAGACCCTCTTTCCACACCTCCAAATACCCATTACCCCCCAACAGGGTGGCCACAATGATATTTCCTTTTGCCGAACTTCAATTCAACAACTTCTTTATCTTTCCCTCCCATCTTCTCAGACACAGACGCGAATCAACGAGCTCCAGCTAAAGATTGTTCAACGTCAACAGGGTTGCCGTAGAACATGCAATCGCACCAAAAACCAGCGCAGAACACATATCGCCACATTTGGTGAAATTAGGGCGTATATCAGAGTTGTACCAAAATTAGCTCTCAAAATTTCAGCTCCTCCACATCAATTGAATTTGGCAAATATTTTTTAATATCTCTTTGTTTAATAAACTTTTTTGATTTTTCCTTTCACACTTTAAAATTTAGATTCATTCACCCCTTTTTGTGTTTTATTTTTTTAATTTAAATTTTAAAATAATTTTCATAATTTTTTTGAAAAAATTTTGAATTATAACCTATAAAATTTTTACCATCATCTTAAAGTAGGTATAGTTCTAAACATACCTGCAAAAAATTAAGTGTTTTTATTCAAAATTTTCTAAGACACAGTCAAAAGTCTTTAGTCCGGACTTGTCGGGACTTTGGCGATTCCAGATTATCGTTTTTTCCGGATTATAGATTATCAGTTTAAATCTGGTAAGATGGCATGCAGAAATTATAAAATTTAAAATATGAAACCGTAATTTCTGAAATAAAGAGCAATTATGATCTGAAGGGTATCAAAATTTGCAAAAAAAACTTTATATTTATTTGTTTACTTTATTAAACATTTCTTTCAACGCGCGCATGCATAAAGCATACATTACGCATAGTCGAAATTAGAAAATTGCAACCAAAAAACTATTTCATATGTATTCGTGATATTTATAATGACGAAGAATCCGATTTAAATCATATCAAAGACAGAGTACATCGAGCTGAAATACTACATTTAGTAAGGAATTATAAGCCGAATAAAATAAAAACATCTGCCCTGAAGATAAGGATAGTGCTGACAGATCAACTTCCAGTTCATTGCGCGCCGTGACATATAATCAAAATTTAAAGGGGAGTCTATTTCAAGGTAATTGCGTATTCAAAGAGAAAACACTAGGACGTGTACACCAGCAAATTAGCAGTAATTGAGTTTGTGCTAACGGAAAAGACAAAAAGATATCATTGCAAGTTAAAGTGATGAGCGACTATTTCTCGACTGTATGGTTGTATAAATTTAAATTACTTCGTAGAACATCATATCATAAACAGAGCATCCCATGGTTTCTCAGTCAAATTATTTGAAGATTTAGGAATTTATCCAGTGGCATACATGGATATTATCTAAAGACGAACTCTCTTGATGAAACCAGTCTTTCCTTTCATCTCATACCTTCAAAATGTCTAGCCTCTAAAGACTGATAAAGGCTCTGACCAAATACTGATAAAATGAATTGAATTCGATTATTAAGTTACTGCAAAGCACGGATATCTGCCCAAAAAAAACGATAACTTCGTGAAGAACTTTCGAAGTGAAAGCAATACGCATTACACATGAGAAAAACCACGAAAATACTCTGCTACCAGCTCATTCACCGGGATTTGAACCCCAGAACGAACTACCAGTGTTCAGCAATTTTATCAATCGGCTTATTTGTGAGCCCTTTTAAAATGGAAGGCGATTTTATTTAAAATTAATACCAGATCCAGATATATCAAGATGTTTCGAAAAGTTGGGTGCTTTTAATATACTTGCAGAATGCCTGATAAAAAAAGAGCAAGCCATTAACAAGAAAAAATATAAAATAAAGTATTTTTTTAATTTTATTATATTTGATTCTTGCGATTTCAAAAATAAAATATTTGACTAAAATATGAATAACACATTAAGAAATTAAATGTAAGATGATAAAATTGTGTAAAGCGTTGGGCACAGTGTTAAAACAGTTTTAAAGCAATGTATGCAACTCGTCCTAAATGAAAATATTGGATATAATTGTACAACTCTCTTATTTATATATCTTTTCTGAACGGAAGGCGTGTTAACTGTGCTTCTGAAAGGAAGGCGTGAAATGAGAAAGGAGGAACAAGAAGACGAGTGGGGCGAAGGAAACTTTGCACCCTGGTTGTTGGACAGGAAGGTTCGATCTTGTTTTGGCAGAAGGGCAGTCGCCATTTCTTTTGTTATGCAGAGATTGTTTTTTTCATCCAGCGGAGACAATGCTGGACTTACCTATTCATACTTGCACCTATAATGTATAATAATCAAGAATTGTTTACTTATTAAAGTTTATTGTTAAACAAACAATAAATGGGTGTAATCATGAAGCAAATGAACCCCATGCTACGGTATAATACAATGATTCTCATCTCCCTTAGCACGACTATGGCAGTCAACTACAACGGCGTAATTGGTTGCGGTGAATTTGAATCATGAGAAAAAATTTCGAAAGTGTGTGTCGGATTTTGGGTAAGGGCTTGTGTGTGATGGATAAGTATGTTGTTATTTGTGGTTTATACGGTAAATCGGCCGAATGTGGTAAGATTAATTTGAAGTTTCTGTAGGATTTAGAATGAAAGGGCAAAAAGCATTAATTGACTGGTATGTAAATGAAAGTTTACTTAGCCATTATTAAGTGTCCTGTTTGGAAAAAGGAAATACGTATGGTCAAACATCGGATAGTTTTTACTTATTTTTTTAATTTATATGGTGACACCAGTATACAAATTCTAGTTCAGATAATTTTAGAAGTGTTTGGATGTTGTTAATAAATTTTGTTTGACTGAAGACACGTAAATTCAGTAAGTGGGTGGGTGTTTCCTTCGTGTAGTGCTAAGATGAATTTCCTTTTTTATATAATTTCATTGTCTGATTTAAAATGTAGTTTATTCAGATTATACATTTTTTCTTTGACTTTTTTAGTGAATATAGTTCGATGTGTACATAGACAAAGTCAAGGGAGTGCATAAAGCCTAGTTTGTACAATTCTCTGATGTTTAAGTAAAAATAGGTCGATGTGTACATGGATAAAGGGAATGCACAATGCCATTTTTGTGCAATTCTGGGATGTATTTAAAGTGAAAATAGGTCGATGTGTACAGCCTAAATACCGAGTTTGTGCAATTCTTTGTCTTGTTATTTTGGCTTTGTGTAGCGCAAGCCAAAATAACAAGTCAAAGAAATGCACAAACTCTTTACCCATGTACCACCCAGTTTCGCCAAGGGGTTCCCTAAAATAAACTTTTACCGTCCGATTTTGTGTCGATATACCTATGTTAGAATAGTGCTATATATAAATCTAATATATATCTAAGTCGCACTTTTGAGACATGAAAAATACAATTTGAATTTCATAAATCTGCCCAGTAAAACAGAAGATATAGAACTGCCCCTTTTTTTTCCCTCATTGTGTAGATATGCACAACATTACAATTCTAGAGAAAAATTTTTGCTGGGTTACCTAAACTGAGAAATTTTCTGCTTCTGCATGACATATATCTAAGAATTCTTCCTTTATACTTCTAGAAGGAAAACATTTGGAAAAGCTTGTGTTTCACATCTGTTACTCTGATGACAGACTATAATGCTTCTATCACCAGTAAATTATTGACTGCAAAGCTTCAGAAATCAAAAACTGAATGTGGAGATTCTGCGAACATATTTTTTCCACTCAATTTTATACTCTAGTTCTATAGTTTTGTTATGTGCTTTTCATGACGTGAAAAATGCTAAGACATAAATAAAGTAAGAAAAATACAATATTAGAACTCTAATCATCTACCAGAGCTGCTTTTACAATATGAAGTAAGCTAGATGGGAAAAATGACCCTGAACTGCCTATCCTAAATTAACAATTAAAAAATGCATCTCAAGATATCTTAATGAATAATATTTACTTGATTTTATCTAACTTTTTTTACATCCTCTTTATATTTTTAAACAGAGCTTAAATTGCACCGACTTCTTAGTTTCTGGGATAAATCATAATTCTAACCGTTGCACACCACAGCCTAAATAAGAAGGCTGTGTCACTTCTCCATATAAGTGAACAACAATTTCAGCAGAAATTTGATCTCTAAAGTTTTATTTTTAATAATAAAATTATATTAAAAATCAGTTCTCACTTTTAAATGCATGTCTCTTTTCCCTTGGAAGACAAACCCTTGGATGAAGGTCCTGACTTTTAAGGAAAGAGAACCTCCCCCCATGTCAAAGGTTTATTTCTCTAGAAAGTACAGTGAATTTATGACAGTGAGAAAATTTTTCATTCCAATGCTAGTGTCTTTACGCAGAAAAGAGCAACTACAGAGTTTTTGGAACTATGTAACCAAGAGAGGGAGAAAAAATGATCACTTGTTTTTTTTTTTTTTTTTTTTTTTTTTTTTTTTAGCTAACCTTGGATTCAAGGAAAATTTGTTTCTTTATCACGTTCTGCTTAACAGAATTACATTGAAAAAAGGTTATTGTCACAAAACGTAGGACTCTTCTCTCTTCTTTTTCATACCTATACATCCTCTCTTAAAATTTTCTCTGTTACTGTTTATAGCATTCTCCTTAGTCTTATTAGTGATGCTTCAACCATTTTAATATTTTTCATTGGCATCTCTTAAAAAAAAAAGTCTTTATTTCTATCATCCCTTAAAGCAGTACATTATAATCAGAGATTAAATTCAACCACAGACCAGGTGAGCTATTTCTTAGTTTTTGTGTGAAATTGTAATTCTAACCTGAAGTCAAGTTCCAGTACTTTATTTTATTATTTAATTAGTATTATTTAATAATTTATTAATTTTTTTTACATTTTGTTAATTTTATTATATAATTATTCTAATCATTCATAATATAATTATTCTAATAACAATTCTTTTAATAACAAAGTACTGAATTTTTTTAATTATTAATTATTTTATTTATTTATTTTTCTTCCTCTTTTTTTATTATCTTCCATACGGCTCTGGCACTTCTACTGTGAAAATTAAGCCGTTTTTAAGTTTTATAACAATTAAATCTAAAAAAAAAATGTTGCAAATTATGAGAATCATGTTTCCTTTATACAAATCAGGTTTCACAAGAAAATGGTGTGCAAAATAATTTTGTGAAAGCAGATCTAAATGTATATACTATATGATAACTACTTTAATTTGGTGATGGAAAAGTGATAGCAAAAATAATAGTGTGTTACATATGACCTAAAAGTATTATTAATTTCAATTATTACCAATACATATTTTCACAGTTTGAAGTTTTCTCATTTAACAAAATGTTCTAGTAAAAATTTAGGACTAAATTTCACTGATAAAAAGTGGCCTACGGATTCTGTTTGAAAGATGTTTAGTTTAGTGATTATGGCAAAGCCTTGAGGGCTATCTGACTAAGGGGAGAGATGCCTTCATGGAGGACTTTCTAAGGGAAACTGGCTTGTATACACAAAGATGTTTAGTTAAAACTGTATCATTTACAATTAGGTACAGAATAGAGTTATTTCGAAATGAGTTCAAAGAGTGTCAATTCTGCATAAACCACGTTTTGCAAAATTTAAGAACACTATAAAAACGATTTCAATACTAACTATATTTCAGAGTGCTTATTACACTCAAAAGTAACATTATGTTTTCCTGAAATTTTTAGAAGTGCATAAACAATGTTAAAAAAGGCATTAGAAACAATTCAAAAGTGTACATGCTATAAACTTTCAAGAGTCTACATACTTATATAGTAAACTTTCAATGAACGACATCGAAACAGTCGGCTTTAAAGAATTAAAAAAAAAAAAAAAAACCTACGTAACATACTAATATGAAACAGTGAAAATAATGAGTTTATGAACAATTATAATGTACAATTTTTAATTTTGATTAATATACACACAGTATTAAAAATACACATTTAAGTATAAAAATTGCTCTTTTGATCTGGTAAAGATTCTACCTGATAATTAAGCAATACACATGTCTTTCGATTACGAATGTTGCACTTTGCATTCTTACCCAATAATATAGTAAACAGTAACCTAAGTGCAGGCTCAGAGGCCCCAACTATTTCTGCTACATATCCAATTGGACCAACACCGCCGCCTCTGGATGCAGCCATATTCCACGAACTTCTGATATTCAGCAACCAGTCAGCTAACGAGAAAATACTGTGGACCTTACAACATTGCTGCCAGATTTCAACATGCACTTTCCGTAGCGACGTTACCTTGAAATGAATATGTTACACAATTACAAGTTTAGCAAAGATCCCAATCTGTTCTAGCAACAATGAAAGGATTATTCATTGATGCAGAAACATAGCTAGCATATTTTAAACTACTGAACAAATAAGTGAAATAAAAATGCAGAAGTAACATTTGATGCTACATAAAAGATATGATTTTATTTTGTAGGTATTAAGAAGCTTTGATTGTCAAGATTAATTGTTACAAAAACGATTGCGAAACGAAGTAAGCATATGTTTGCAGTTCTATGTCCTGGATCATGATTCGTTTAAAAAATGCTCAGCAAAACCCCGAATTTCTATTATAGTGACTAATGGCGATGAGTTCTATTCGAAGGTGCGTTCAGAATCACAGACCTGGACGAAAAATATGACATACTAAAACGAGAGCAGAACACTAGTTCACTGTATAATTTCCTAACTGATAAATAATATTAATTCAGAAGTCAAACAACAAAAATCAGCGTTATACCTACAAAATTTTCACAGGACTAGTTTCGATGGTTTTACCGAACCATCATCTTCAGTTTGCTCTTCAAGTTTGCTCCTCCAAACTAGCCCTTGATGAAGAACTAAATTATTTAAAAGCAATAGCTATTGACAGGGGCTTTTTTCACCCAACATTATTAATCAAGCAGTTAAAAAATTCTCATCTGAACACACTAAAAGCCACACTCTTATTTTAGGAGATTATAAAAATTCTGTTGTCATTCCCTTCTTTCCATCAATTAGCTATAAAGTTGCACATATTTTGCAGAAATTTAACTTTCGGGTTGTTTATTCTCCCATCAATAAAATTCCAACTTCTATACTCAAGGACCCCATTCCGGATATGAATTCCTGGGGTATTTATAGGATTCCTTGCCAGTGTGGTTTAATTTACATTGGCCAAACTAAGAGAGCCTTAAAATTTCGCGTCAAAGAACATGAGGCATATGTTAGAAAAAAGGAAACACAGAAGTCTTCTGTTGCTCAACATTGCTGGTCCGAAAATCACACTTTCAATTTTTCTGCTGCCAAAATTATTCAAAAAACATCTTCCATTGGAGAACTGGATTTTCTAGAGGCATTTCACATTCATAAAAATCTTTGTTTTCTAGTTAACGATCCTAATTCCAATCCAAAAGCCTTCGGCTTTTAGAGAAATTATGTTTTAGTAAAAAAAAAAAAAAAAAAAAAAAAAAAAAAAAAAAAAAAAAAAAAAAAAAAAAAAAAAGTCTGGTTTCGCCAACAGATGGCGCCACTTGCTTATTCTTGTTCAGGCTTTCTTTTCTTATCTAATCATTATTTCCTATCTTGTTCATTTGCGGTTTTGCAGCTGAAGATGATGGTTCGGTAAAACCATCGAAACTAGTCCTGTGAAAATTTTGTAGGTATAACGCTGATTTTTGTTGTTTGACTTCTGAATTAGTATTTATTCGGCGTGTTATTGTGTCTTAATTATAGAAGCCCCAAACAGGCTTACATTTTGCTTTCTTTTTTGCACGTGGTGTGGCCACCATTTTGTGATTGTAGGAGTTTCGGTGAGTACATTTTTGCAATTTTCAAGTTATGTTTATGTTTTGTACATTTGGATATTGTGCTTTGCTTGTCTGATTTCATGCATTTTGCTTACAAACGTTTTGTTTTCTATTCATTTCACTGAGGGATTTTTTCTGCTGTTTTGGGTGTACTTTATTATTGCTCAGTTAATTTAGTTTGATATTCTGCATTGTTTATCATGCCTGCCTTCATCCGTTAATCGTTTCACTAAATTACGCCAGAAACGGCAAAAATTCCTGAATCATCTTGACTTTTTACTTAAATGTAAATGTAAAAAATTGATCCCCAATTTTATTCAAATCAAATCTAATCAAAAACCTTCGAGTCGCGTTTCAAGAATTCTGTTAAATTGCAAGCTTGCCTTACTTCGGTCCGTGATAAGGGATACACGTCAACAATTGTCCAAAATTGAACATGAACTCTATAAGCTTCATATGGAACTCGCTAAATCATATCCAAAATTCACTGCCCTTGAACAAAAGTCTTGGTCTAGAACGGAGAATGCAGTTAACCGTCATAAAAACACCCTTGCAGTTAAATTCGAAAAACTTCTTTTACAGTCTTCCAGTTCAAGTAGTTCAAAAAATCTTCCCATTGTAAACATCAAGCCAATAGTTAATATTTCTAATGTTAGTCTTTCAGAAGAACAAGAGAGAATTCTAAAATATATTTTAACTTCTCACAAACCTGTAAACCCTCGATTCCAAAGATTTTGGCTCCTATCGAAAAAGCTTTCAAGTTCAGTAAAGTTTCAGATTCACAGAAAGAAATGATTAGGCATCTTATCGCTCATAATGTGAAATTCAATAATAAACCTTTGAAAACCAAATCTAACTGCGAGAGAAAGAGCTACAATGCGCGAAATTCATTCTAACCCGGATATTATCATTTCAAAGGCCGACAAAGGTGGCCAGATAGTCGTCATGGATAAGAACACTTACATCGATGGTGTCACTAAACTCTTAAACGAAGGACCATACAATCCGATCCCTAAAGATCCTTCACCTTCGGACTTATCCAAAATAAAAACTGCGATCAAATCTTCGCAAATCATTTCAAGCAACTTAAAACATTCGCTTATCCCATCTGTTGCGAATTGTGCCAGATTATATGCTCTTCCTAAAATTCATAAAAGTGGTATTCCTTTCCGCCCTATTGTATCAAATTTAGGTACTGCCTCGTATCCTTTAGCTAAAAATTTAGTTTCTAGATTTTCCACTCTATTAGACAATAACATTTACACCATAAAAAATTCAATAGAGTTTGTAAAAAAGGTTAAAAACATTTCTCCTAGTAATTTACTCATGGTTTCTTTTGATGTAAAATCATTATTCACCAATGTCCCAGTGGAGGGTGCATTAAGATGTCTAGAAACCAGACTTCGCGAATTTCATTTCTCTTGCATCGAAATTGATGAGCTAATTTCACTCACTCAACTCTGTTTGAAACAAACACATTTTGTTTTCCAAAATAAATATTACAAGCAAACTGAGGGATTAGCCATGGGAAGCCCCCTCAGTCCCATCCTGGCTGATATCTACATTCATTATTATGAATCAAAAATTGTTTGAAACTTTAAACTTCCCGCCATGGTTCTGCTACGTAGACGATACTTTTACCCTGTTTGAAGGTAATAAAGATGATTTAAATAAAGTTCTTTCAACAATGAATTCTATTGATCCTGCTATTCAGTTCACTTTTGAACTTGAGACTTGCAATTCTCTTCCGTTTCTCGACATTCTGGTCACACGTAACACATCCAACTTCAGTACTACAGTTTACCGTAAACCTTCATCGGTTTGCTTTCCACCACACTTTAAATCATGTCATCCAACTAAACAAAAGTTAGCTTCATTTTATTTCTATGTTTTCGTGCTCTTCAAGTTTGCTCCTCCAAACTAGCCCTTGATGAAGAACTAAATTATTTAAAAGCAATAGCTATTGACAGGGGCTTTTCACCCAACATTATTAATCAAGCAGTTAAAAAATTCTCATCTGAACACACTAAAAGCCACACTCTTATTTTAGGAGATTATAAAAATTCTGTTGTCATTCCCTTCTTTCCATCAATTAGCTATAAAGTTGCACATATTTTGCAGAAATTTAACTTTCGGGTTGTTTATTCTCCCATCAATAGAATTCCAACTTCTATACTCAAGGACCCCATTCCGGATATGAATTCCTGGGGTATTTATAGGATTCCTTGCCAGTGTGGTTTAATTTACATTGGCCAAACTAAGAGAGCCTTAAAATTTCGCGTCAAAGAACATGAGGCATATGTTCGAACCTGTTCGAACTCCGACATCAGCTTTGGAACTTTGGAACTTTGCGGTTATACTGGCTTTCAGCAGGAAATTAAAGTCCTGCTCTTGCCAGTTCCTGATGTGATCCCATGTGGGGCCTGACAGAGTAGAAACCTGAAAGAAATTTTCTCTCGTGGAGGTAGAAGTGTGCTGGAGAGAGAAAAAGAGAAAAAGAAGCACTTTGCTCCTGTACTGCTACATCTTGGATGGAATCCGCCAAGCAGGGGCCGGAGAAAGAAACTTCGGATGACCTGTGTAGGATAGCCCGAATACTAACTGTTTATTCGTCGGAGCCAGTCACGTGGGAGGTCACCCTCCCAGAAACTGACCCCGATTGATGCTGCTTGAAAACCAGAAAACTGGAACTTAGAATTCTGAACTCAAGAGATGGGCGGCAAATGGGCGGAGGTTTTTGTCTTCAGCCAGGATTTCGTAGATAAGAATGTCCGTGAAATTAGCGGGATTCACATTGATAATATTATTAAAAAAGTTGTTGTTTATTCTGCTGAGGTAGTCCTGAATAGTATCTATTTTCAAGTCGGAGTGGAGAGTCCTATTCCGAACATAGTAAGGAGCTTTTGTGATGATTCTTAGCACCTTATTTTGAAGCACTTGGAGTTTGCTAATTTCGTTTGCTTTGTAGTTTGCCCAGGCTGGGGAAGCATACGTGAGAATGGGTCGGATGACAGTTTCATAAATCCTCTTTTTCAGTCTGAGGGTGAGGTTTTCATTCTTTAGGAGAGGAAAAAGCCTGAAAATGATCCCGTGTGCTTTTCCGCTTACTCTAAGCATATGATCCTTCCAATTGTAGTTCTTGTTAAGGGTAACTCCAGGTAATTAGCTTTATCAACTGTAGGGATGATTTTGCCAAAACGTTTAACCTCAGTTCTGACCCGTTTCCTCTGTCTGCGATTTCGAATGAGTAGAATCTTGGACTTTTCTGGCTGAATGCACGTTTTCCAGCGACTGCACCACCCCTCAATAGCAGGGATTTTCGCCTGAATTCTTGACAAGGCATACTCTGGGTTTAGAGACTTGGTGGCTATCGCTGTATCATCAGCGTAGCTGGCTGCGAGAACAT